ATAACATAGCAGCCTCCTAAATTGCCCAATCATTGAATGATCTCCTAAACAGTAGATTCCACCCTATTGACTCCATACTTGTGCCACAGTATCATTGTTTTGTAGACTCAATGAATATAGGTGAGGTATTAGATTTCTCAAACTGTCCTCTCTCCTATCCATATTTCATTCCAGAACTCTGTCTTCATTCCATCCCCAACACTAATGCATATGTTGTTTCTAAAATGTGGCCATAGTCTTCGAATGGTCTTCCAAACACTACATCCAAATGTGCCCATAACCTCTTCAGTTGTCCACTGGTTAAGTAAAACCATACTTTCCTACTATAAATCTCCTCCATAAGGCTCTATCTTCAGTACAGAATCTCCATAGCCATTTTTGGAGTAAACAATTGTTCTGGAGACTTAGGTTCTTTAGTCCTAAGCCTCTTTGGTTTCTGCTGAGTGTGAGAGTATCCCATTTCACCAAGTTTTAGCCTCTCTTTTCCCTATTGCCTTACCAAAGAAAAGATCTCCTCAGCCTCTTTATTTTCTTCTCAATGTTCTTGGGGACTAGAAATAGGCTCATCATACAAGTAGGCAATCCATCCAGTATTGACTTGATGAGGGTCACCCTACCACCTAGTGGCAAATACTGGTTTTTCCATCTGGCTAGTTTCTTCTCACATCTCTCCAACACCACATTCCACACTTCCAGCTCTTTGTTCTTGGCACCCAAAGGTAGTCCCAGATACTTTGTTGGTAGTGTATCTACTTGGCAACCCAATGTCTCGCAGATTGTCAACTTGGCTGATAGGGAAGAGATGACTCTTCAACTAGTTGACATGGAGGCCTGAAATGACCTCAAAGATAGTGAGTATAGTCCTTATGTGTCTAATTTATGCCTCCTCTGCCTCACAGAATATAAGAGCATCATTAGCATAGAATAAGTGTGTGATCTCCAACTCCTCCCCTCTCCCAGCAAGTGCACTAAATCCTCTCACCCACTCATTAGTCTTTGCCTTCCTGAACATATGATTCAACCCCTCCATGGCTATTAAAAATAGGAAAGGGGACTTAGGGTCTCCCTGTCTAAGATCTTTCTCAAATTGGAAGAACCCTTCCGTGTTTCCGTTTATGAGAAGGAAAAATTTCACACTTGAGATGCAGTATTTGATCCAACCAATCCACTTGCTACCAAATCCCATGTCTTTTAGAATTTTTAGGAGGAAATTCCAATTGACATGGTCATAGCCTCATAGGCTTTCTCAATGTCTAGCTTACATAGAATCCCTGGTTTCTTCTACTTTATCCTTGAGTCTACCAATTCATTAGTCAACAATGGTGCATTCATTATTTGCCTACTTCTCAGAAAAGCCATTTGGTGTGCATAAACCAATTTCCCTATCACTGTCTTCATTCTCTCATTCAGCAACTTAGAGATGATTTTATAGACTGCACTAACAAAGCAATGCTGATCACACTCTATTCATAAGAGTAAGACATCAAAAGGATGAACTTACTCTTCTCTGGAGGAGGTAAACAAGTTCATTCCAACTCAAATTTTCCTAACTCTTCTGGCTGCAGTTCTCCTCTCTGAAAACCCCACAAATTTGTCCATGCTCATAGGCAAATGAGGTTTTTTGTTCTCCTTACTAGTTGTGCTTCTCAAGAAGTACCTTGGAGTTTCTCTCCTCTCTGCAGTTGGTGCAGAAGTAACTAATTTCCTAGCACTTTGGAACTTCTTAGGTTCTCTTTTTTTCCTAGAAGATTCAACTCTAACTCCCAAATTTTTTCTCATCCCCAGTGTCCCCACCCTTCTTCCTCTTCAATCCCTCATTCCTTCTAGCAGAGTACTCCTCGTAAGATCTGCCCTTTTTGAATAAAGGACTTCAATGGTACAATACTCTGGATGAGGTTCCCAATCTTCTACATTGTTGCTAGCCCTCTTAAACAAGAATGGTATTGTATAAGAGTTTTCCGCTATATACAATATGGGAGATAATCATTATTTATACCTAACAGCATATCCTATAGAATATTTTCCTTACTCAAGTTTAGTTTTCTCTGTTTTTGGATCTATATACATATTCTCTGAAAATCCAGCATGCCCCTCAAAATTGAAGTGAGAAAAACAACTTGATCTTATTTTGGAAACATAGAAAGCTGCTGCCAAAATCTCACTGGAATAGTCACAATCGCAACCACAAAAAAAGGCAACATTGCAACTTTTTCCTCTAGAAAGTAGTTGGTAACTGCACAGCTAAAGATAATGCTTTTACACATGCACATAAAAAGGAATGTGTTATTAGCCGCCAAATAGAAGTGTGGTGCTGCAAATCTCCAGAACATCGTCAGTGTGGCTTAAAATTCGCAAATAAGAACAAGAAACTCAATGTTTGGAGGAGAGTGTTGGTCGAGTATGGAGGAGGGCTTCGATTACTGTAGAGAGGGGCAGCACTAGAATGGTTGTCGAAGAGGAAAGGAAGTTAATTATCAGAGAGAAAGACGGCACCAATCCCCAGAAAACTAAGAGAAAAGAAGGACAAAATTGGCAGGCAAACTGTGAAGGCAGAAGCTAGTTGAGAGATTATACCAAGATCATAAAGGCTCTCACACCAGGAAAAAAGAAGAGAACTTCTTAGTGACTTGATTGTTAATTAACAATGTCCAGATTCAAACATTGCTAAATTCATTGAAATTGAGCAAGGAAAATTTCATAGATAATTCTATGGGATATGTTAAGATATTATTATGTACTTAATACGAGGAAAAAAAAAAAGGAACAGGCATGGGGAAAGGAGGATATGACAAGTTATGCTAGGAAAAAAATGGGGGCGTTTGGTACTTTGGTAAAAGAAGGGAGATGGAGCTTATGGAGGGGTTTGGAAAAACTTGTTTCCCTTTCTCTTAAGCTTTTTAGTTTGTTGGTGAACTTACATGTTTTTACTTGCTATTTATCAATTTTCCAGTTCCCAATATGGCCATCCCACGTTGTTACCTTCTCAAAAATAATATGGCCATCCAACGATGAACCCATGTTTTTAATTGTGCTAGAAAGGTACCTCAATTTAGCTAGATTAGGAACAAAGATGTAGAATGTTAAGATAATATGTGTCCGAATCCGCATATGCCTATCTTCTTTGAACTTGAGTACAAGTTCAAAGAGCCTATATGAGCGGGTGTATATGGAGAGCTGATAAGGCCATCAAGAACATCTAGACAATGATACATGTTTACAGTTTTGGTGTTTATGGATAGAAAGGAACAGGAGATGTTCTGAAGGGGAGGCTTCGCTAGTTTTTTAGTTGGTCTAGTTTATATCCAGCTGGCAGTTCAGTAACTTCAGTTCAACTTCTGGACTTTATTAGCTCTTTAGTTTTGGCATAGTCTGCTTTTGTTAGTTGCCAGATTTTTTGTAAGCTTCAACGACATATCTGTAACTACTGCATCTTCTTGATGGTTTCTTTAATGAAATCACTTCGTAAGAAAAGGAATATTATAGCATCCTCATTTTCTATTTTTATAAACGCTTACCTCATTAAACAACTTTCTTTTTTTGTTTAACAGCTTTTCAATATCAATATGGTCATCCCATGATGATCCTGTGTTTCTAGTTCTACTATAAAGGTACCTTGGTTAAGCTACATTAGGAACTTGCATTCAACATCTCATATAAATTTGGTTAATAAGGCATCTCTTTTTAACATAGATCAGTTAATAAGGCAATTAATATGGAATGATTACCTACAGCTGTAGGTAATCTAGAACTCTTATATAAGGAGTTATTTCTTGTATATTGTTAATCAAGAAAATAAGAATATTTCTCTTCTACTTCACGAAGCATCTATGATTTTGATAGAGTCACAAGTACCTCCCACCTGACGGTGGGTTATTCTACACCGCTTGGCCCCCAAATGATTTTCTTCTCTTTTTTTTTGTATTTCCGGTGACCAAATCCCCTACTCCTTCCAACGACAAACTGCTCCTTTCTCCGACGACCAGCGCCTAGGATGTTCATAATTCAGTTTACCAAATTGAACCGAAAATTTTGAGATTGTTAATCCATTGAACCGAAACCCCTCCCACACAAAGAACTTTATATTTTTTTCATCTAAGCACCTAAATTGCACTTTCCACAAGAAGTCGTTTTTAATCAATTGGAGTAACATTGCATCAATTATATACACGAAACTGTAAACACATCGTTGCACAGACAAAACAACAACAATTGGAAAACCATTGCAGTTAAGGAGTAACAATGAGGGCAGGGATCGGGGAAAAGCTGAATCAGAAATTACATCAAACAGAAAAGATTACTTAGAGAATCTAAAGAGACGATGATTACCTTTCAGAGATTCTGGCCTGGATGGAAAAATTGAAGAGACAGAGAGAGGAAGAGAGGGCAAATTATATTACTATTTATTTCAGTAATAAAGTATTAGCGGCGCCCTTAAACCCTTAACCAGAACGTCACCTCCGAATAGGTCAGTGCACGATCCGAATTTAATTGAAGCTTCAATGTGGGCTCTAGACAGCCGGTGGAAAACCAAAACAAAAAACTTGTTTGCTCTCTCTTTTTATCCTCTTAAATGTTAGTCTCTCCGTCCATTCCTTTTATACCGTCAAACTATAAGAACTTTAACTAATATTTTAAGATATATTTTTTCATCATATTAATATGCAAAAAAATGTAATTTATAATATTTTTCGTATAGTGTTTAAATATCTAAATTTTGTTTAAAATATCAAATTAATATAATCTAATTTAACTTTGAGAATTAGTCAAATTGACTTTTTGAGAAGTACAACATAACAATTAAAAGTGGACGGAGGAAGTATAATTGTGTAATACAACTAATGAAAATAGTTCTTTACTTAAATATGGTGTAAATGTGTTTGGAGTTTGCTAATGGTATAATGATTAAATGCATAAATGTAGTTTTTAATTTGGTTTTAACTGACATCTATGTCGTCTAATTTTATGTGTGCATAAGTAAACATTTAAATTTGTACATAAAAGTCTCTTTGAGATATTCAATTAAATTAGAATGATACAAAGAAGATTAGCACGGCCCTTGCGCAAGGATGACACACACAAATTGAGAAATGATTCAAATTTTCTATTTTAAAAAAAAATTGAACAAATAGATACACGCGTCCTACGTGACATGATACACGTAAGACATTATGTAGGACGCAAAACACATGTTTGTATTATGACTTTGCTAATTATTATAATCCCTTGAGTTTGGGGTTTGACGAAGTGTGCTAAGTTTAGAAAAATGGGAACATTTTTGTGTCCATCCTAAGAACATCCAAAATATTTTTTTTATAATTTAACAGAAAATTTTCAATATTTTGTAACTCATATGGTTCTTATGTTTGAATATTTGTGTGTTTCCATTACTCTTATATAATATTGAATAGACAAATTATATAAGTTAGCCAAATGCTCATTTGGTCCAGTTTAGCAATGCCCTCATGGATTTCAATAAAATGTAACAATATAGTGCGTAACCATGTGAAATAAAAAGCTTGAGGCAAATTCCCCCTTTAATCTGTTGATTTTTCATATTCTAGCAATTTTACGATCATTATTGCATATTTTAAAGTTGCAAGTTACATGTATTGTCATTTGTTAGTCCATGGCCATTAGTGATTTTTTGTCATACGTCAATCTTTGACTTTTCTCGTTATACTTTTTTGGTGTACCTAATGGCTTTAGCCCAATTTTTAGTACTAGTCTAAATAATTTTAGTACGAATCTTGCTAGATTTTGAAGATATTTGATCTTATGAGGGTTAGGTTTGCCTCTTGCATGCTACTTTGTAAGATCAATTAATAATGTATACTTTAGGAAAGTCATTTAACTCGTTGATTGTAGTTAAGTTTAAATTTTGTGTCCTGATATAAGGTTGATTAACTTTCTTCAATTGGTTCTCCACTATCGAAGTTTAAATTCTTTACATCTCTTGAATAACATATATCTTCTAGTTTCTAGTTTCGTTGTTGCTTCTATTGTGTCATCGGATCTTCTCAAGCTTGATTATCGCCTATCAAATGGTCGTGTCGTGCATGATCCTTAAGGAATCTCTTAGTTGCACGGGATGTTATCTCATCAAACTGATCTTCCACTACTAGAACTATTCGAAGCCTTTCATTATATTCATTTTTATTGTTTTCATTTTACTTTTTTTCAATTATTGCTTTTATATTTACAGTTGACTTTCAACTTGTTCCTCAAAATCTCATCTTTATTTAATATAAAATGTTCATTTGATCTATGAATTGTATGAAAATAGTTATATTGATAGAGATTGTAGATTGGTTCATACGCTATCCATAATTCTATACAAAAAGGGAAGGAGTGATATAGACCAAGTTAATTTTAATAATGAGTAAAAGGGAAATTCGAAATCAGCTATCTATATTGTAATAGTGACAAATAGCATAAAGATATTGTCTAATTCTTGGTAACAACATCAAAATTGGCAAGTATATAACATGTGTGTAGAATAAAGTTTACTCTCGTCAACTATTGTATCAATTATATTATTGATCTCATAAATATTAGGTATTTATTATGTTGGTTATTAGTGATTGCTAATTAAGAAATCAATTGATTGAAGAAATATTTGTTATTTAGAAAGAAACAAGACAATGAATGAATGACTTATTTGATTTGAGCAATAAATTTCATAACAAATGTTTAAAGTGATTGATTGACAATTATAATCCTCTTCTACAGTATAAACACCTCTTTCGATTATGTTTAACTATTACAATCTCACTAATTAATATAACTCTTCTGATTGTATGATTAGTGGTGATATTATAAGCTTAAGCTATGAAAAATTGTTGAAATAACTGTTTTCGATCAACTATATTCACTCATGACCATTACTAAACCAATTTGACCTCTTGTTTAAGATAAAATGGACGAATCATGATTATTTGTACGTGAAAATAGAAGTTAGTGTAATACCCCGTACCTTCCAACACATATACGACTAAGTGAACTAAAAAAAAAATTGAATTCGAGATAGTAAAATATGGTATTTGATGTTAAAGTCAAAAGTGGTCAAGTGTGTATTAATGTTAAGGTCTGGTAAAGAAACTAAAGATTGGGAAAATGGTGTAAAATAAGTGAGGTGCTTGCTTGACTAAATTATGCTAGTAGGTGACAAGTAGGTGCATCACGTACGGTACATAAGGTATATGGACCAAGTTAAAAGGACCAAGTATGTGCATTACCTACTTAAGGTATATGGACCAAGTTAAAAAGACCAAGTATGTGCATCACCTACTTTGACTAACGGGTCATATGGAGGCCTACATTAAGTGATCAATTTGAGGCCCAATTTGTCCAAGAAAGGGAGAAAAAAATGAAAAGAATGAAAGTTCAATGCTCAATATGTCCAGGCCCACAAGAAATAATTTGAATGGAAAAGTAGGTGCATCACCTACTTAAATATGGCTTAAATTAAAGACAAATGGTGGCTACAAATGAACTACATGAGAGGTGGCAAAAGAGAGTCTATTAAAGCCAAAAAAGCTAATACAAATATATCATTTTCTCTCATCCAAGTTTTAAGTCTCTCAAGCTCATATATTCCTCTCTCTCGAGATGAAATAGCCACCCAAACATTCCATTTAGGGTTCTAAGTATTTTTCATCTTGTTTCTTCCAAAGCAACCATAAGATCACCTTCTCTCATCCATGGTTTCAAGTATATTGGAGAGTTATTCAAGGGGAGTGAAGTAGAGAGTTATAGGTGTTGGCAACAAAGGTATTGTCCCTCTCTTACAAAGATTAAGGTAAAACTTTCATGCTATAAGCTTGGGTTCTTTCCCTCATTTTCATGTGATGCTTGTGTTGATTTTCCTCTCCTATTTTGTGGTTTATATAAGGTTACAAACACAATAATTGATGGAGAATAACATATTGATACAGCAAAGGTAAGGTGCTGCCACAACCTCTAACTATTAGTTCATGTGAGAATTCTAGACATACTTGTTTATTGGAATTCATGGGATAGTGATTGAAAGTCGTAAATTTAAGTCTTTTGATTGTCTGGGGTGTTGAGGACTGTATCATTGTATTGATTCATTTATGAGAGTTCGTGGATGGACTTAGAGTGATTTGGTATAGCTGTTATGGGAAGGATTCATAGGTTGTGGCAATACACCATTAAAGTTGAAGTTTTTGTAAGCACATTGTCCGCCCTATATATATTGTCCCCTCCAGGATACATGTCACGCCCCGAGCTTACACCCTGGGCGGGACTGGCACTCGAAAACCATTACTGGCCCCAAGCGAACCATTGGTCTGGCTTACTTACTCAGCGAAAGTCTTAAACACAAGAAATAGTCTCGAAGGATAACTCATACAAATGTCTTTAAAAATATTAAACTTAGCCAAAATGGCAACTCAAGTCTCAACCATTAAAACAGGAAATAGAAAACTCAAGAACTAACATTTGACTGTCTATGAAGCCTCTAAACAACTGAGATGGATGTTAGGACAAGACCCATGACATCCTAATGAAACTAAAACTACTAAAAGCAAAAAAAGGGATCCTCCGGAAGCAAGGAGGCTCACCAACAAGTCTGGAGCTCAACTAGAATCAACGATGCGCTGGATGCTAATCTTGATTACCTGTATCTGCATCATTAAAAGATGCAGGCCAAAGGCATCAATACATTGAATGTACGAGTATGTGATGGGATTCTAAAACAAGACATAAGCTTGAAAGGAACTGAGGAACTTACCTGGCTCAACTCAACTCAACTTAACTGAACTCAATTCAATATAAAGTAGCATAAAACAAGTGCAGTATAAAGAAAAGCTTTTTAAAACATGGATGTCAACTCTGTGTATTTGGAAATACAATAATACTCTGTGTGTATGCAAAGATACAATATAACTCTAAAATATATGTAAAAATACAATTAAATTGTGTATATAAGAATACAAATACTTCTATAGGAGTTTCTCTAACCGACAATCATCACGTAAGAGCTATTGTGATGATACAACATTTTGCCTTACGCGGCTAGGGCCATCATATACCTTGCCGAGGGTATAGAACCTGACTACTAAGTGGATCCACTAGTCTATGCTAAAAAGCACTAAGGAATCATCTAAAAGGTATGACCTTTTTTCTACCCATGATGGCTACATGGTTTATGGGACTGTGAATTGTCTGAACTCTCCCCCATATCGGTGCTCAATACTACTCCAAAAATATGATACTAGCTCTTATGTTTAAAAATATACTTCTTTCTGTGATTTGAGATAATTGTTCAAAAACTTGGCTCAAAGGCTATCTTAGAAATCAAAGTTTCCCCTCTTGCTTAATTGTGATAGCGTTTACTCTTTTCTGAAAACTAGCTCAAAGGCTCTTTGGAAATCAAGATTTCCTTCTCTTGTTTAAATGTGAAAACATTTTAAAACTCTTTGGGAATACATAGTCCCCATATACTTTTGAAGAAATGAACTTCAATCTTTCCTCTTTACTTTTTACTCTTTACTCAACTTGAACTTTAAGTCTTAAAACAAAGTAAAAACATTTAGAAAAGACTTTTGGAAAACTCAAAGAACTTCTCTTGACTTGACTTTTATTTCTCTTGACTTTGATCTTAACTTTCCTTATATTGGATTATGGATTCAAGGTTCAAGATCTCATGTTGTGGATGATGTCATAATGTTTAGATGTACCTTAGAGTATAGAAATCGACTAGAAAACATAGGTACGTTGTTAAGGAACTAGTACGAAAAGAAGGGGCAAATGGTGGGAAACCTAGAGTCCCTAGCGCTCTGAGCGACGTGGGGCGCCAGAGGCAAAACTTCAGGGGCTGGCGCGGCTCCCCAGAGCCCAAACTTCAGAGCCCCTTTTGGGGTGCTCTGGCTGGAGCGGCGCCCTAGGCCCTTGCCCAGGTGGGTTCCAACTTTTCTTCTTCATTTTTCATCTCTAAACCCCCTATTTCGACTTGGTTCTTTCCCCAAACACTTAGAATCAACTATACCATCAAAATACATCAAATTATACTCGAAATCACGCCTAAAATCATGAATCAAACTCAAGGAACTTCAACGACAAGAACCCACAAGATTTCAAA